CAACGTAAACACAATCTTTCGCATTCTCTCTGTTCGTCGCACGCACACGCACACGCACACGCACGCTGTCGCGTTGATTTCCCTTACAATAATACTAATTCAAAGAAAAGAAGAGAAGAAACAACGGGGGGCAGAAACGGGATCGTACACATAGATCACACTACTCGCGCTCGCCGAAGGATCCATCATTTTAGCCTACCTCAGTCTGTATCAAAGTTGGTCTTTAAACTGAATTTTCGCCCCGTGGCACGCTCACCGGGAATGCAACGCGACCGGTTAAACATAGTCCCGCTTGCATCCGGATTTCTCTTTCTTTTTGAGCGTCCTTTTGTAACTGCGGGTGAGACTGTGGGTAGCCACGCTACTCAGCGCTACCTTCGTGCATGCCACGGCACACGATTCCTAATTTCTGTCCCTGGAAGAAGAAACGAACGAATGATGTCACTGAATCAGACAGGAACTCGACAGTCCCACGCAAACCATTAACCCCTTGCCATACAATGACGACTGAGTCTCGCGATGAAGATTTCTAGATTAATTCAACAAAACTCAATGTTGTTCATACCCCACGGATCAGAGCAAACAATTACTTTCCTATTATCAATGCGTTATCTTCAAATGAAATTCCCACCGAAAGTAGAACAGAATGTTTTGTTACATTTCTTCCAAATCGAGAGTAAAATGCTACATGAGCTTAATAACGAAAGTAAATAGGGCAAGGGGTTAACGCTCAATCCATGTACATTCACGTTGCATTCGCACTGAAAAACATTCACGCCGGAAATAGCCTACAGGCGAGACTCACCCTGGTCCAGGATAATAATAGGGAGGTGGTCGTTCGTATTCCGTGCTCAGCGGCGGTGGAGCAGCAGCGGCTGGTTGGTACCTAGGTGGACCGCCGTTGGGGAAGTCCCAGTTCCTGCAAGCAACGCCAAGCCCCCGTTAAATCGAGCGACACGCGTCCCCGCGGTCGAGGAACATTTTCGTCAGCTATATCCATCGACAGACGTTACGTACTCGAACAAGGTTTACGAACGAAAGAGGGAAAGTAAAGGAAAAAACGGAAAAAGAAGAAGTCGTCCAACATCGAACGTGTCTGCTGCCAACAGCGTGTATTGCCTTTAGCGAACAAACGCACGACGAAGCTGCCGCTAAGCGAAACTAAAAGAAGGTGTCCCGGTTTCTATCTCGCGGTTAAATCCCGGCGACAGGTTCAACGCACGAACTCGACGCATGCTGTTCCTGCGTTTAATCAGGCGAGCTTCCGTTAGATGTGACTGACAACGCCGGCTGCCCGACGATCGTCGTGACCCCGTGTGTCCTCGTCCGCGCGCAAAAAGCTCCAGCCGACAAAGCTAAACTGTCTGCGGCGCACAAAAACGAACCAGTCGAAACGAACAACAGAAACGAAAGAAAAGAAAGGAAAGATAAA